TCATTGCAGGAAGAGGCTCAGGGATGGAGGGGGCAGTGGAGGTGAATTTCAGGGTCCCTATGTAACACCAACAAGTAGAACTGAACCGCCTTCCTCTGCAGCTTAGTACATGAGCCTCTACCACATGAGCTAAAAGCCAGCTGGCTCGCAGCTCAGGCACTAGACCACACGCATGCTTTCTCTCTGTAACGCGTGCTCTAAATGCCACAACATGGGACAGTGAACCACAACCATGGTTACACTTACAGGGTGTGGGTCGGTCAGTTCTGCCCCTACCAGCCCAGCCATGGGTGTGTTTCTTCAGGAGCGGGGTCCCCAAGGGGAGGGAGGGAGAGAGAGAGAGTGAAGGGGATCTGTCAGTTCTGCCCCAGGACACGGGAGAGGGTGTGTGTAGGTGTATGGAGTTGTAACAAGGCCGTCCTCAGGGAGGGTGGGTGCATGTGTGAGAGCGAAAAATGACTGCAGGGGGAATCTCAGTCCCTTCCCCAAGTGGGGGTGTGCAAAAGGGGCTCACAATTCTTCTCAGGGCAGGCTGACGGTTCTCCAAGGGGGGAGGGGGGGGTGGACAATGTGTGTGAAGAGGTTTCACAGGAGTGCAGGAGCTGACAGATTCCCAAGAGGGTGGGGTTGGGGCATACAATGGGACTGCAGACAGGGCGGGGGACAAGATCTATGGAGGTTTCCCAAGCAGGGTCTGGGGAAGGCAGGATGGGTGGATAGAATTGCCAGGGCCCTGGGCAAGGTGGAAGGGCAGCTTCACACTCCTGGAAGACGGGGTGGGGGTGGGGTGGAGGCTAGCCATTTAAAGGGTTCTTGTCCCTGGCTGCTGCTGCTACCACAATGGCAGCTGGGAACCCAAGGTGCCTTTGAATTACAGGCCCCAGGGTTACTGTCCCCTTTGTCCCCACCTGTAGGTGGGGGCTCAGCGCTGGGAGTGTGGTCTGATCAGTCCATTCCTCTTCGAAGGCATGGGGTGGACTGCAGGGGTCTGTCAGTCCCTCGCCAGGGTTGGGGTGTAGGATTGCTGACCCTTCCACCTCAGTGGGATCCAGTGAGGGTCTTGGGGAGGTCGGTTGGTCCCTCCCTGTGCAGGGGAACAGGATCTGGGAGCGGGGGTCCCCTGTGGGATACCTCTGGGGGTAGGTGGGGATCTGTATATCAGTAAATCCTGAAGTCAGACCTGTCTCTGCTACTGATAGTATTAAGCTCCTTGCCCCCTCCTCCAGCAGAGAAGTCAAACTACACCCAGGCCACTTCCTCATGTATCTGAAAAGGGCATAGTCAGGATAGCACCTCCCTTTTTGAGCTAAAGTTACTGGCTTCCCTTCCCTCATCTTCTGGCCTACTGGTGGAAGTTGTTATTGCTTCCTTGTCAATTCTCACAAGAGCCATCTAGTCTTACCCCAGCACCACCTTCTCAATGTGGCAATTTCAAAATGAACATCCCTCATTCTAAGCCAACCAACTTACAAAAAGAGAAATGCCACTGCTAGTCCCAGCACAATGAGCCCGGCTAACTGGGGGGAAGCGGGTTGGTAGCTTCTGAGACTGGTTCAAGGACAGTTACAGACTGAGTTCTCTGCAATTTCCTGGGAGGACAAAGGCATTGCTCCTGATTCTGTGTGCAAAGCCGGTGCTCAGAGTGACCAGCTTGCCAAGACAATGTATAATTGATGCCAGATTCCTATAAACTCACAGAGCTAGCGAAAACCCATCTCCCGCTGTGATGCTTGCCCTCTAGCTTCTTGGGCAACTCAGGCTTCTCAAGACATTGGTCACTTGAAGAGATTTTTACATAAAGTTTCTTGCCAACTTTCTGGTCTCAGAACGTTATTAACAATTAATATCTGTGTGGTTTATAACATGCTTCAGGACCACTATGAACATGAGCTTGGAGCAGAATAGGGGCTGGGGAAACACCATCTTTGAAACGTCAGGTACTAGGCTATTGCTGGAGCCAGGATGCCTTAAGATCCTATGGGCTGATCCAACACAACTATGGAGTTTGCTGTCCTCTAATTCCAAGGGTGAGCTAAGGGTTGGGAGGAAGGAAGAGAAAGAAAAGGGTCTATAAAATCTTTTTTCTTCCCTTCTTGGTTCCTCCCTGGCATTTGGGTGGGGGATTTCCTGTGCTGGGGTGTTGCCAATCTCTACCACCTTTCCACACTGGCTGCTACTGGACTAATGGCACAATGAGTGGATTGCGGTAGATAAGCAAGACATGATGACTTGAAAGCTGATCAAAAAACAGCTCCTATCCTGTAGTGGGACAAGACATGATGACTTGAAAGCTGATCAAAAAACAGCTCCTGTCCTGTAGTGGGACAGTGGGGCTGCGTCTAGACTGGCAAGTTTTCCGCAAAAGCAGCTGCTTTTGCGGAAAAACTTGCCAGCTGTCTACAGTGGCTGCTTGAATTTCCGCAAGAACACTGACAATCTCATGTAAAATTGTCAGTGTTCTTGCGGAAATGCTATGCTGCTCCTGTTCGGGCAAAAGCCCTCTTGCTCAAAGGCTTTTGCGCAAGAGGGCCAGTGTAGCCAACGCGGTATTGTTTTGCGTACAAAAGCCCCGATGGAGAAAATGGCGATTGGGGCTTTCTTGCGCAAAACCGCGTCTAGATTGGCACGGACACTTTTCCGCAAAAAGTGCTTTTGTGCAAAAGCATCCGTGCCAATCTAGACGCTCTTTTCCGCAAATGCTTTTAACGGAAAAACTTTTCCATTAAAAGCATTTGCGGAAAATCATGCCAATCTAGACATAGCCTGGGGGTGCTAGAAGGCCAGCGCAGGCTTCCCAATGCTGGAGAGGAGCCCAGAGCATTGGGGGACAGATCCAGGCATGCCAGGAATCGCATCCAGCCCCCAAGCCTTAGATTCCCCACTGCTGACATAAGCTTACCCCTGCAAATGCTTTTTGCCATCCCATGTTTGGGATGCAACCTTTAAAAAAGTCTGTGATGATAAATTCCATATCTGCACTCTCTGTCCTTGATTCAAAATCCAGTGAAGTCAGTGGAAGTATTTTCATTGACTTGAATGGGCTTTGGATCGGTCCCTATGGAGGAAGGGACTGCTACTGGCTTACTGGCACTAATTTGTACTGTTGTGCATACCAGGCCAACACAGTTATCTACTCTAACAGTGGTCATAATAAAGAGTGCCAGATATTTAAAAAACAGTGGCACCTTCCTCAACCTCCCAAGTGCATTTCTGATACCCTGCAAATGACTGGATGGGTAGGGATTTAAAAACAAACAAACAAACAAACAAACAAACAAAAAACCAACCTCTGTTCTTCTGTTGGCACTTCCTTCTTCATCCTTCTTTTCTTCAGGCATGGCAGCCAGCGGAAACCCTGCTTCGCTGCTGTCCTCCTTTGTATGATGCTTCCATGATCTTCTCATATCCTCGTCTGGGTTACGGAAGTCATACTTATGGGACCTGGAGGATATTTTCATGGACCTATCTGGGTCTTCGCCACTGTCATTTTCCTCTGTGCGCTTCTTGGATGTCAGCTGTTTGGCCAGCTCATCCATTTTGTTCCATCTTTTGGAGTCTTCCCATTCTCTTAAGGGCTCTTCCTCCACTTCCCCGCTTTTGATGTCCCTTAGGTGGAAGGAGTCCTCCACCTGCATTGCTTCATCCTCTGATCCATGCCGCCCTCCTTTAACTCCAAGGGATTTCTCTTCCTCTTCAGAGCTCTTCAGACCTTGGCCAAAGCCCAAAGCATCTTTGTTATCTGAAGCGTTTATTGAACATAATGACAATGAAATAGGGTTTAGATTACATTGACCCAGTCTTTGCACCAACCTTATTTCTTACTCTATGTGAACCGACAGACATGATGAAGAAACATATTCATGGATTTTAAGGTCAGAAGAGACCATAATGAATGTCAAGTCTGACCTCTCCTATACAACACATCACATGAAAATAAGCTTTACGTGCAGGAGGAGAGGACGCATACGTGCTACAATATTGATGGCAAAGAGACTAGATCTGGGTGTAGTCATCAAGAACCTTTTAAAAAGCCTGAGCAACTGCAATAAATGACATAAAAGCTCATTGAAAACTTACCAGACACGTTATAAGACTCAGAGTGAAGTAACCGATGGGTAATTTAAAGGCTATTTCAGTGTGTAAGGATGCAGAGAGTGTCCTAGTGGGATTTATGTATAACAGCTGATGGGAGTTATGCCTCTAACACACTGAGGTGCATTTGGAAATCCCACTAGCTGCCTAGTTGCACTTTTAGATCTCTTCACACCTTTGTGAGACTGGCCTGGAGTTCTCCCTTTATCAAAGAGCATAAACTGAAAAAGGCATCACACAGGATACATACCACTTTCCCGGGGAGTCCCCTCAGTCTCATCCCCAGCTGAGCCAAGTATCCTATCTGCTTCTGTAGGCTGCTCATCTTCCAGCGTGCTTCTCCCGGCATCCTCTTCCTCAGCATGCTCATGTAGGGTCTCCTCTTCCTCTTCTTGGCTCTCGTCCTGGCCCACTTTGGAAATCTGCTTCTTCTCTGCTAGAAGTTCCTGACTTCTGCTGGGTTCTTCAGGCTGCTTCTCTCCAGCCTCTTGGAGTTTGTGCTCAGAAGGCTCATCCTCTTGGAGGCTGTCATTGATGGGGTTGTTTAAAGTGTCTTCCCTTGTCGAGTCTTCAGCCTCACTGACCTCGTTGCCCTCAGATTCCTCTCCATTCTCCTTGATGTCTTCAGGGCCAGCTTCACGCGGCCTCGACTCTTTTTCTTCATCCTTTGACTCCTCCCTCTCATAGTTCTGCTGGCTCCTCTCTGCCTCCAGCTCAGCAAACGAGACTGTTGGCTCCTCTGTAGCAATTTCCCTTGATTTATCTGCAGTGTCAATATGGCAAAAATAGAACCTCTCTTTAGACATCTATTTCACAACTGAGGAAGCTTTGTACTGATCTACGTATGGGCTCAACACACACACACACACACACACACACACACACACACACACACACACACAAAATCGCTAATTAAACCTATGTTTCACTTTAAGCACATCCTGTACACAATGCATTTATGTTGAACTTTAACCACATGAGTAGATCCATTGATGACAGTACTGAATTATGGGTGGAATTAAAGATAAACACATGCTTAAGCCCACCCCCACTTTTCAGTACAATAGATTTCAGTGAGCCTACTTACATGTTTAAAGTTATAAGCCCTTAATATAGAACCTATATTACTACTTAGTCTCAGATGATAAACTATCAGTGCATTTGAGATTAAATAGAAAATGTCTTAGAATTATAATCATGCTTTACATTTATATAGAAATTCACATGCTCAAAATCCTATGCAAAGACTGGCTCATTCATTCTCACAACAACCCTAAGAGAAAGGGAAGTATTCTTCCCACATTATCCAAACGTGATGAGTGGGTCTAGGCCAAGACCACTCAGCTAGTCAGGAGCAGCTCCTGTTGGCCAAATGGGTTTTACTTATTTATTATTGTTCAGAGGAAAAGAAAGAGGAAGCAGCAAGAGAGGCGAGAAAAACAGAAAAGAGGTAAATGGGCACAAAGAGACTAACTGTGGAAGGAGAGAGGGAAGTAGAAAATGGAATGAAGTGATGCTAAAAAAAAAGCTTTAGGTGAGTAAATGTAATAAAGCTCCTACATTACAGCACATTTTCCTGGCAGAAAAGCGGCCCTGAAATGGTTGGCTCCTGTTCCAGCAGGTGAGAGGGTCAGAGCCAAGACTCTTCAGACTGCTCTCCGCCTGGTGCTGGAAGAACACACATGCTAGCTGTTCAATTTCTTCAAATTGGTTTAAATGAAAGATTGCTGGCTGGATACTGCTCCCACTCTGTTCAGGAAAAGCAGGAGCAAGCCTTGAAGATGAGGGTCTTCCTGTCCCCTCAGTTATGTTGGAGATATTAGACTTTGCAACAATCTAACCAACTGAGATGGTCATTTAACATAGACAAGTGACAGCCATGGGCACTCCGCTGCTGGATGCAATACCTCAGAGTATTGTACCATATAGAATAACAAAGTGTGGTAAATAAAAATAGCTCTTCCGGAAATCCTACTTGCTAAATGAGATGGTGACAGAATTTTACTTCAGAATCCATTCTGTATGGAACTATATGTGCAGCAAACTAATCCCACACAGGCACTATCTACTTCTGATAGGGGAAAAAGAAGGCACTAAGCCAGAATGAATTACCTAAAAATCTCCTTTTACTTACACTGGAGCAACCCCAGTTAACCAATAGGATTGGATTGGCAGAAAATCCTAACAACTGAGTTTGGTCTGTTTTAGGACCCAACATTTTTTGTGCATCCGAAACTCCCATTGATTTCAAGGGGGATGTGTGACCTGGCTTTTAATGTTGTAGGTGCTCAGATACTGTTCTGATTGGTGTACATGAAAACTTAGCCAGTTAAATAAGCTAATAAGATAGGCCCCATCCTCTTTAATATCCCATCACATTTTTCAGTGTAGGACTCACCTGTTACTCATTCTAATACTGAAAATGGCAGAAGGGAAGCAAATTAGTATCGGTTAGAATTTAGAATATTTCCAGTAATTATGGCTCAGAAATAAAAAGTCATTAACTAATTCCAAAGCAAGCCCAAGGCCACTATTCTATTTCAGTGACAACAAAAAAAGGGCTAAAATGTGAAGCAGATTTATGCATCGAGGCTGTTGGAAAGAACATCCCTGTTTACTGTACTACATGGATTTCCTGGGGATTAGGCTGACACTAACCTCTTTGCATGGTCTTGTCATTCTGGCTTTCAAGGACTTCTGAAAGTTCATCTTCAAAGCCACTGTTTTTCTTCTGCTGCCAGGTTCTTTCATTGGCCCCTATGTCAAATGAGGAGGGGTTAAAAAGCAAAATTTCTTACTATATTTTAAAGAATTATGTTAGAAAAACTATTTCAGTACATTTTTAAATACTAAATTCTGACAATAAGAAGCTGGAATGAGAAAAAATTATTCAATAGGAGCTACACGAACCAAATGTATAAACAATGCTTTAACAAAATACATCATGCAAGCCAGCTCATCTGGAGGCAGATAATCCCTACACAAAGAGATTTAATGAGCAAGAGAAACTTGGAAAACAATAATCCTGAAGGAGACTTGGGGTGAAAATGGACAGAAAAGCAGATGTTGAGTTGCAGTGAGACCTCAGTCTAGCAGAGCACTTAAATATGTGTTTATTTTAAGCAGCTGAATAGCCCCACAAATGCTTTGCTCTTCTCCTTCCATGAATTACCCATTTCCACCATTATACAAGAGTCCCAGTACCTGTGCACCTGTTCCCTTCTCAGAGCTTGCCATCCCCACTGTGAAACACAGTGCACCTCTCTCAAGCACACTCCTCTCTCCTTTTATGTATCAGCTACCATCAGGAGCTCCATATGCCAGATGCCCCCAGTGAGAAAACAGGGAGTCCCTTCAGGGTGTTTTAGAACTTAGACACAGCAAGGAGCTTTTTCCAAAATGATACCAATCCATACACACAAGGAGAACAAATAGGGTTGCCGGGTGTCTGGTTTTTCACCCGGACAATCTGGAAATCACGTCTTCTCTCCAATTAAAATAAAAAAACAAAAACAAAAAATACCGGCCATTTTTTTCCACTCAACAAGTTTGATCTCCGTTTTTTTTTTTTTTTTTGGCTCAGCCAATTCTCCCCCCCCCCCACCTGCCGTGTTAGGGATTTTTTGTGAAGGTATCTGGCAAGTTCAAGAACAAAGGGTGGGAAAGGAAGTCTTATGGCCCTCATTTTACAGACAGGGATGTGAGGCTCAGAGGTGCAATGTGACTTGTCCAATGGAGAAAGAATGGCCAGGATATCTGAGGCAGATCCAGGAACTGATCCCAGAATTCCTGAGGCCTAGCCAGTGCCTGATTCACAAATCTGCTCTTCTATAATAAGTTTTTTTCTGAACAAACAACCTTCCAGACCTGGCATCTCCAATCCCAACTTAGCCCCTGCCGCCAAATCTTTGTAAAGGGAAACAAACCAGCTTTTTCAGACCAATCCTTCTCCAACTCTATAGGCAAAATAATTTGAGGTGTGGGCTCTTCCAGACCAATTTACTTCAGTCCCAGCCAGATGAAAGAAAGAGGGAGGAGAGAGTGCTCCATGGCCAGTGCTTCAGAGCCCAGTAGTGGAGGGAGGAGGGAGCATGTGATGGAATTATGATGGGGGGGAGGGGAAAGAAAGGAAGTGCCTTATCTAGCTTAACCTGCATTACTCTAAACATGGTCCAATTTTGTGAGAGTGCCCCCTCTGCACACTTGACATATTGCTTTTAAGCTGCTTTGGGGCTCTCATGGGGCTGGTTTGTGTTTGAATGTCACTGAGGATCTTTAATGAGCCAGATACTTCTTCTAATTTCTTGACCTTCCACTCTTCTTTTTGCTTGTTCTCTCTCTGTCTATTGACTTCCTGGTTTCTCTTCTCTGAGGTTAGTTCATGTTATTCCTTGTCATCCAAAACTACATCTTACCAGGACTGAGTGAAACACTGGCAGTGAAATTCCAGAGCCTCAGCACTGAGCAGCCTGAATGAATGAATACAATATTTAGATGCTGCTTCTGTTCCTGCATTGTTGACTCAGCTCAGAGCCAAATGGGAATCAGTCCTTGTATCTACTATCAGGAGCAGGAAGCGACTTGCATCCATGCAAGTAATGAGCTGAGAAGGGGGTGGGGGGGAATAGTCAATAAGTCAGTTTCCAAAAAGCTTTAGGGATTTATTTACCTTGGGGTGTTTTTGTCAGAAAATTATTGCTACACATGCCTACTGCTTCTGGCTACAATCATTTCACAGAACTTGAATCCAGGGGAATTCTGTTTGGACACAAAAGACTTTTGTTGGGACTAATTTTACTAATGTCTAACTGTCACTGCAAATGGTGGGAATGAATCTGTATTCTTCACACACTGATATCAATGGGAGATGTGCCTGCCTGGGGACTCCAGGTCCACTTTCGGAATGAATAAAATTCACCCATAGTGCAGAGGCTTTCACACCTCTATGCACATGACTTCAATTCTGCCTTGTGGCTGCACAGGAGGACGGAGGTAGTGTGACAGCCAGTCCGGGAGTCTGGGTGGGTGGGAGAGGCCTGCTCTGCACTACTCATCAGAGCATGTGTGTTCAAGGTCAGATTACCCAGGCTCTGGCTCTCTGGGGTTGAGCCCAGGTGCAGAGGACAGTGATGGGGGTGGTTTGGGGAAGAGGCCACAAAATCCATGGGCTGCAACATTCCATGCATCTGGTGCAGAGGAAATGAAGCTCCACAGAGGGAACAGCATTGCAAGCCCACAGCATGGCTCCCAGTTGGGGCTCACGGATTTCATCACTCTTGCTTGCACACCGGCAGTAGACTACCCAAGTGCTTTGGGCTCTCTGCAGATGAGCCTCAGTTCTTCCTAGAATACTGTTAAGAACTAATATTCAGTGCTCAGAATTACTGAAACCTACAGCATTTGACAGTGGAAAGGCTGCTATGGGCTCTGGATCTTATGTTTCGTGACCAGCAGACATTGGTCAAAGTTCAATTGTATTTCCAACGGTAAAGGTTTTTTGAATAAGCCACAGTGTTTCCCTCAGATATCTGCTATCCATAAAAGGCTTGGCTCTCTTTGATAAGTCATATGGTAGTGAAATGAATGTAAACATGAAGTAACATAATTAGCTTCAGTGGAGTTAATCTGCATGTACACAGGGCAGAGCTTCACCCTCTGACTTTATAATCTTATTTGCAGCCAGAAAAGTTTTCAGTTTTATAAAGGTACCTGCGTGGCCTTTATGTGTCTCAGAAATAATAAACTTGAATTAAAAAAATGTCCGAGGCTATAATTCATTAACACCTTCCTCCCTATTTAACTGTAGCAGAACTGTACCTTGAACTGCAAGTTCTTGAAGCTCCTTCAATAAATTTTGGTGACGAAGGATTGAAATGATCCTTTCATCTGCAACAGAAGGTTCTTGTTAGAGATTTCCTACAGCAAAGCAAACATTCCATTCACATCCTCCTTTAGCTCGTCAATTTATTTATTAAATTTGCTCTTAATTCTGCAGATCCATCCAGATCAATTCAATTAAAAAATTCTAAGTTTTTAATTTCATGCAAGTGACACTGAACTTCAGTACAATTAAAGCTATGGCTGCAGCAGAAGAGCTTTGGTGCCAAAAATTAAAGCCTCTGAACTAGCAAATAGATTTTTCATAGCTAACAGAAACTCAATATTTCATGAGATCATGGAAGAATTGGCTTTGACAGAGTATCAGAAATAACCTCTACAATGCACTTCATCACCTAGAAAGATACAAACATACAGATTAAAATCTCTCTAATCTTGGCTTTATTTATTACCCATGATAAATTAAAGAGATCATAGGGCAAATCCTACAAACATTTACATTAGTTCCATAATATGTAGACAGGGAGTTTCTGTTCTCCCTGTCTCAGAATACAATGGCGGCAATCAATGGAATGTAAAAGATGTGAAATAAAAATATATATATATACACACACACACACACACACACACACAGTAGGTTCTTTTGAACACAACATGTGAATAAACTGTGTAACTCATTCCCTCAGGACATCATTGAGGCCAATAATTAGCAGTATTTTAAAAGGGATGTATATTAATAAAGAATAGCCGAAGTTATAATTAATAGTAACAAATTTAGAAAGGACTATTAAAGTTTGTACTCCAGAGCTTAAGCCAATTATTAACTATGAGAGTCCATGATGAGACCTGTGTGGGGAAAAGCTTGCTCCCAATTGCCTGCTGTGCAGGTCTTACATGTTCCTATGAAGCATCCGGTGTTGGCCACTGTTAGAGACAGGATACTGGACTAAGACTCCGAGCTCCTATCATAATACCTATACTACTAGTAATAGATGCCTTGGGTCTGATCCAATCTGGCCATTCTTATGATTCAGTATTTCTATGTTCCCATGTACATCAGCGTAAATGAGAAGAGAATTTGTGTGTCACTGAGTTGCTGAACAGAAATGAGACAATGGACTTGACTCTCCTCTCACGCAGAAGTAACTGTGTTGGTGTCTTTGGAATTGCAGCTGATTAATTTTGATGTGAGAGGAGAATCAAGGCTGAATATTTCAAAATACAAGTACAATAAACGTGCTATGTGCCTGTGAGTTCGTTGCAGATGCCAGACCCAACATCTGGATACACAGTAATGTGTTTGTGTTTGAATTAAGTGATTGGGAAAGTGAGGATAATAACATTGCTTGACTCCAGCAGTGTTTATGCTAGTGCACAGACCTATCCTACAGTCCTTACTCATGAATATTTCCATTTCTTTTAGAGACGAAAGTAAGCCAGTGTGCCCCAGTGTGGTGCTCTGGCAAGAAGCCAGCTGGCTGGGGCACTTGACTGCAGTGGGAGTAGCACTCCCAGACTAGCTTCTGACTTCCTGCAGGCTACTGCACTCAGCAGCAGGCAGCCAGGAAGAATCCCCCAGGCCTCAGCCTTCCCTCCCTCCCCACCATTTCAAGGGAAAGTGGGGGCTGCAGCTACACATACCAGGTACCTGTTGCTTTTCCTGCTTCCTCTGTCAAGGGAGCGACTGTGTTCTTCCTCTACACCTCCCCTGGGCAGCCAGGAACAAGAAGAATGCAGCACACTCTGCACTTCCCCTCACTCCCAATCAGTGGAAGCAGGAAAAGCCACAGGGAACCGGTATATGCAGCTGCAGCATCCCTTAAAATAGCACCCTTGCCCTACCACCCCCGTACTCACCACTACACACCTCCAACCCCCTGCCTTGAATCCTGCACTCCCATATTCCTCCTACTCTGAGCCCCACCCCCCAGCCCTCTATCCTAACTCCCCAATGGCAATTGAGCCCTGAGCACACACTGCCCTGCCCCCTCATATAGCCCCACCCCCCAGCCCTCTATCCTAACTCCCCAATGGCAACTGACCACACACTGCCCTGCCCCCTCATACATCCCAACTATTACTTCTGAACCCCCACATCCCCAGCCACCTGTTTTAATTCCTGCACCCCTACCACATCCCAAACTTCTTCCCTGAGCCCCTTATACACTTCAACCCTAAGTCCTACACCCCCATGCTTCAACCCACTTACCCTAGATCTTGCACCTTCCCACACCCACAACTCTCTACCCTGAGCCCCCCACACTTCATCCAACAATTAAATTTCTCTTGTATTCTAATTCCCACCTGCCCTAACCCCAGGCAGGCAGGCTGTGATAGAACTGTACCTGTAAGGAGTTTAAGTTACTTTCACCCCTGCTTTTCCTTTAATTTCCCAGATATACATTGGAAGACACTCTAAGAATATTAAAAGGAGTAGCACATTAAATTGCAAACCCAATAGCAAGGATTTTTAATGAAACTGTAAACTCAGGGATCATACCCTATGACTGGAAAATAGCTATTATTGTACCTATTAAGATGGAGAAAAACGTGATCTGGAAAATTACAGGCCCATTAATTTGACCTCAATTGTATGCCATAACTTGGAACAAATTTTGAAAGAGAAAGTAGAAGTACATGATAATTGAGATAAAATGCTTCATGGCTTTACAAAAGTTAGATTGTGCAAGAGCAACCTGATGTCTTCTTTGGCTATGTCTACACTGCGGAGCTACACTGCGGAGCTATTTCAGGATACTTCCAGTATACTGAAATAGCTATTCCGCATCTTTTGAGCAAACCCGTTATTTCAAAATACAACAGGCTCGCTATTCCAACATCCCTGTAAACCTCATTCCATGAGAAGTAAGGGATGTTTTGGAATAGTGCTCTAGTTCGAAATTTAGTGCTGTGTAGACAGCACCAAATTTAAAATAAGCTATTTCAAAATTAACTTGAAATAAGCTACGCAATTTGCGTAGCTTATTTCGAGCTATGGGTGCAGTGTAGATTAAGCCTTGGAGAAGATAACTGAATTAACAGACAAGGGAAATGCAGCAGATCTGATCTCCCTGGATTTCAGTAAGGCATTGATACAGTCCCACATAATGCAGCAGATCTGATCTCCCTGGATTTTAGTAAGGCATTGATACAGTCCCACATGAGAAATTATTAGTTAAATTGGACAGATGGGGATTAATATGAGAAGTAAATGGTAAGGAACTAGTTAAAGGGGAGACTATGACAGCTCATATTGAAAAATGAATTATGAGGCTGGAGAGAGGTTACTAGTGGAATTCCTCAGGGATCAGTTCTGGGACCTATCTTGTTTTATGTGTTTATGAATGACCTTGGCACAAAAAGTGAGAAATGTGCCAATAGAATGTGCCGATGACACAAAGTTGGACAGTATAGTGAAAACAGAAGAGCACTGGAATATTATTCAAAAAGATCTGGAAGACTGTGAAAAATGGAATAATAGAAATGGGATGAAATTTCAGAGTGGAAGGTGTATGTGTTTAGAGATGAACATTACATTTTACTATAAGCTTCTGATGTATCAGTTGGAAGTGACAGAGGAGGAGAATGACCTGCCAATGTGATAAAAAGGCTGATGCAGCACTAGGATGCATCAGGCAAGATATTTCCAGTAGAGACAGGGAAATGTTATTGCCACTGTTGAAACCTCGTCTGGAATACTCTGTGCAGTTCTGATCTCCCACGTTTTAAGAAAGATTAATTCAAACTGGAGCAGTGCAGAGGAGGGGCTACTAGGATGATCAGCAGAATGGAAAAACCTAACTTATGAGTGGAGACCAAAGAAATGTGATTTGTTTCATCTGATCAAATGAAGGTTAAGGGGAAATATGATATGATGAGATTGCTTGCAGTGGCATGTGGCCTATTTGCAACTGCTAATAGCCAATATCCCCAAAGGGCATAGAGGGGATGCTAGATCAGGGAGGGCAAAATACAGCCCGTGGGCCATATCTGGCCTGCTAAACATTTGGATCTGGGCTACCACAGTCCAGCGGGACCCTCAAGCGGGCTCTGGCTGCCATGGCCCCACATACTGCCCAAAGCCTCTAGCTGCTAGGCCAGCAAGTGTCTCTGTGCCCTGTGTGCCCCTTGGAGGGATGGGAGTGGCGCCAGCATGCAGAGACCCCCAGTACAATCCTTGCAACTCCAATTGGTCAGAAATCAGCCAAGGAGAGCCGCAAGGGCAGTGCTTGCTGGTGCATGCAGCACCCAGAAACCTGCTGCCCCCTCATCCCAAGGGGCATGAACCATGCAGAGACACAGAGGCCCCAGCAGCTGGATGCTTTCAGCAGCATGTGGGGCCATGGCAGCCAGGAAGCCTGCCTGAGGCTCCCGCTGTGCTGCTGGCCAGGAACCAGCTACCATAAGTGTCTGCTGGCCACAGCTTGTACCTGGAATCCCACCTCCTCTAGCTCCCTTACCTCCTGCCAGACGTCACATCCCCTACTGCACCCAAACTCTTTGCACCTCCTCCTACACTCCTGCCTAGGTCTTTACTCCCTTTTGCAAACAACCTCCCTCCCTGAACTTGCATCCCCTTCTACATCCCTTCCCCAGGTCAGAATCTTCTACTGAACCTAAGCCCCTCCCAGACCCTGCATCAGGTCACATCCCCCTACTTCATTCAAACTACCTCCCAAATCTCAGACCACTCCTGAACTCGGTCAAACTCCGGCCCTACATCTCCTTCATTAACAGAAGTGGCCCCTGACCACTTACCAAATTAGTGGAGTGCCCCCTCTATCAAAAATTATTGCCCACCTCTATACTGGATAGAGAATGTTATGAGTTACTACAGAGAACTCTAGAATAAACAGTAAATTCTTTGTAATTTGATGTATTTAAACCATGATTTGAGGACTTCAGTAACTCAACCAGAGGCTATGGATCTATTATAAGAGGTGGTGGGTAAGGTTCTGTCACCTGCAATATGCAGGAGGTCACATTAGATCTAAGGTTTTCAAAATTTTTAAATGGCCTCAAAGAGCTGCCATCAGCTCTTGCTGGTGGCCACTCTGACAATTTGTCCTAAAATATTTAACTTTAGGAAGAACAAAAAAATTGCACATGTCCATGTCTAATGCATGGTAATTTATGTACGATTTTTTGCAGACTCAGTAATAAATTATGTATAATTGTCTCTTTTTTTCCTGGTACCTAAATAGAATAGAAACACTAAGTAAGACAAGAATATGCAAAGCACCTTATTTGTGTTGTTTCTTTGGGGTTTTTGGTTGCTTTTTAAAAAGACTTGCTAGCGAGTAAGTTAGCGGCTGTGAAAATATTGTTAATATTTTTCACAGCCTCACAGCTAGCTACTAAGTCTGCTGTGAAAAGCGATATTAACGAACATCCAAACGTACAAATATCACTTTTCACAGCAGATTTCTTCAGCGCCAGCCAGCCCAGGGACAAATTAAGCCCTGGATGGTGAGCTGAAGGAAGTAGCAGGGGCTGGGGCAATAGGGGAGTGACCCCAGGGACCAGGGGCACTGCTAGGGCTGAATTCAAAGCCCTGCGGCTGGATACCAGGTCCCAACCTGGAAGCCTCCGGTCAGATCCTGAGGCCTGCCATGCACAGCTGAAGCCTAGGTCTGGAGAAGCCAGCTGAGTCTGGGGAGATGGAGGAGTGGTGTTAATGAGCCTGGAGCCAAAGCCTGCAATCACACAGCCAGAAGCCAGAGAGGCAAGAGAGTATGAAGGGGAGAGTGAGATCCTGGGGTTGGAACCTACCTCTGCTTGGCTGGGGGATGGAGCCCAGGGACAGAGCCTGGGGCCCAAAGACTGAGCATGAAGCTCTATAGCTAGAGCCCAAAGCCCTGTGGCTGGAGCCTGCCACCCCAGGGATGAAGCCTGAATCACCACTCTTGAGAAAGTGGGGAATTCGCTGGAGCAGCAGGCACCTGCTGCCTGTGTTTCCAAAGAAGGGCAGGCCCCTAACCCCTGCTGACAGCCTCAATAGAAGGTCTGCTGCTTTGTCCCTGTCCTCCTGCAATGTTCACCCAGGAGGTTGTAGCTGCAAGAAAAGTTCCTGGTGGCTGCTTTTGAGAAACACTGGATGAGATGGTCAAGAATGATCCCTTTGGCTGTAAAGTCTGTGAGTCTCTACATCGGTTTAATTTAATAAAGCAGCTTGTAAGGCATATTGGGATGAGACCTGCCAGTTGAAGAAAAGGCTATAACAGGGCCTCAAATCAAAGAGAATAAAATTAATTCTTGAGAAAAATGTCTGATAATGTTCTAAATGACTGCTCATCTCTTTATGGCCTGAACTTCTCTCTTCTTTTCAATTTCAGCTGTCTGGCCTTCTAAGAGCCATAATCTCTTAAACTGTATGGCTCACAGGAGATTCAGAACCCAGTGGCTGCACAGAAAATTAACACTAGTCAGCAATTTCTGGGTACCAACAACGTTGCTTATTCAAGCAATCAGATGTATTCATTTGTCGGATAAAAATAGTTGGAACTGTTTGCAATTTGTAAGTAGCTAATTTCTTTAAACTATTTGATTTTTGCAGATTAAAGGGATTTCAGAAAGAGATAAGAAAATGAAACATCTTCTTGGAAATACTTTCACTGTTTGAAGATATTGCTTGGCAGACTAGAAACATTACCAGAAACAGAACATAATGGAATTAAAAGGACTTTAGTGCTTCTTTTGGTATCACTCTCCTTTATATTAAGCAGATATTATTAATTAATTATTTTTAGGTGTTCTAATCAATTAATTGTAGGTGTTCTAAAACACAAAATATATCCATTAAACTGGATAAAGAGGTCATTTCTGATATCCTCTCTCATACTGAACAGCACTATAGATCCTATAGAAAAAATGGGAATGGCTCTATAGAAAACAATGGGATCTGTGGAGTAAAGTGTTTCTCACCATAAGTAAAAATATCAGCTTCTGACCCAAAGAAATGCTATAAATATTTCATGGTTATACATTATAATTTTCAACAATAGCCAACAGTTATATTTTATATTCCATAGTAACTTAACATGCTTTACATGTTGATTTGCACCCTCACATTTTTTATACTTATACACACGCACTGAGATTCACTTCACTCATTATGGAAATCCAGCCACCTCTGGGTGGAACTTGGCAGGTATCAGTGATTGTTATGCCTGAGTAAGGTCTGTAGCTTCACGCTCTAATACTGCACAGTAACACTATACTAACACCTAGGTCAGGAGGGGAATAGGAACACCATCTCCAACTGAAAGTAATTCAGGCAGACAAAATATAATTATAATTATTCAGACTGGAGTTTCTGGATATATTCTAAGTAAGATCATGAAATTAAACTATGAAAAAGGTCCCATCCTGCTATATCTGCTCAGAAGAAAATCCCATTGAATGGTTCAGGCCTTTACAAAAGTAATCTGGAACAAAAGATGAAATATTTTTAGCAACAATAAATCCTTTTATTTGGGTCATGGAACTGATGAAGGACCAGGAAAATTTCAAATGTTTTAAGAAGTTATGGTCAGATTATCAGTGGAAGTAATTTTGCATTAAGAAAACATGCCTAACTATGGCACTACCTCTTTGAAACAAGATTCAGTGCTCAACCTCCCATTTACCACATTTGCACGTATGGAAATGTTATTCCATCTCTCTGTGGCCACACCAAGAACTGGGAACACAGGACAACATGGCAGTAGACTCCTACACGAATGCTTTGTGCTGAAACCTCCGTTTCTTGCACCATGGGCAGATTAATGAGATTTCCATTTACTTGTTTAAACTTGAGGAGCTGAATGTTCAGATTAAATTAAAATGTTGAATGTTTCGTAAACACTCGTCAGTGTTGTGAGCAAAACACAAGAAGTCATTCTTCTACTCTACTCCGCACTGATTAGGCCTCAGTTGGAGTACTGTGTTCAGTTCTGGGTACCACATTTCAAGAAAGATATGGAGAAACTGGAAAAGGTTCAGAGAAGAGCAACAAAAACGATTAAAGGGCAAGAAAACATGAGCTATGAGGGAAAGCTGAAGGAATTGGGCTTGTTTAGTTTGGAAAAGAGAAGACAGAGGGGACATGATAGCAGTTTTCAGATATCTAAAAGGGTGTCACAGGGAAGAGGGGGGGAAATTGTTCTCCTTGGCCTCTGATGATAGGACAAGAAAATGGGCTTAAACTGCAGCAAGGGTGGTTTAGGTTGAACATTAGGAAAAACTTCCTAACTATCAAGGTGGTGAAACATTGGAATAAGTTGCCTAGAGAGGGTGTGGATACATCCTAATGTTAACAGAACCCCAATGAAATCATCAGGCACTAGATCAGGTTCCATTACAGGAATTGGGATCATGAATATTGGGGATTAATTCAGCCTTGGCATAACCTCAGACTTCCACACAGTTACATTTACTTACACAAAGGCTGGATTTAGCACTTTAATCTTAAACTACAGGAAAATGGGCACTACACACAGATGGTGCCTTTAACTTTGGGGAAGCCATCACAAAGTGGACTCAGAAAATCACCAGTTACAGTAGAGGGGAAATTATGGTTTTAATAGGCTTCCTCAGAAGGTGACCCCTACTATAGTCTGTACAGAGGAGAAAACATTTCTGCTCCTTACCGAACCATGTAACCTTTTACAATTAAAGTCATTTGAGCCAGCAAGAAAGATGTGGACAATAGCAAATGACTTGCTGCATTCATGAGCTATAGCTTAGCTCACAGCACTGCAGGTAAGGCCAGGAGTTCTAAACAAAGCAGCAGCAAGAGCTCTCCAGGTTCCAGTCTGTCAGACAAAGGAGGAGGAGTTTTTTATTGTTGACTTACAGTGTAAGTCAGTGATGATGAATGATGGAGTACAGGGGAGCTAGCATAGAGATTGATGGGAGCTTTTTTCCCCACTGTAAGGAAAAAGGAAAGAGCATTTTATAGCTTATCATTGATAGAAGATGTTGATGAATGAAGACATTCAACAGGGAGGGGATAGGAACTGGCATTTCTGCTCTTTTAGCAATTATCAGCACAGTGTAATTAGCTAGTTTGAGAGATAAGTTAATTTGAAAAGGTTCACACTAGAAAGAATAATGTTAGCGAATTTTTGACTGCGCCCCTCCTAAAGGTAGATAGGTAGGTTTATGTGCATAAAGAGGTAGTTACACATGTGTAAGTATACAAAATATGTATGTACATAGATGCACACACATATGTACCTCTATTATGCATGTATACATATATGAGATGAATGCATACATATGGGTGTGCATATAGAAATATTAGCTAAACAAATCAACATATCAGAAGAAAGATGAATGGCCAGAAAAAGTGACCCCTCTATTTGTAAAACATGGATGTATGCACCTGCACAAAGTCTTTGTGGTTTCAAAAACACTTGCTTTCTATTTTCTCTGTGTCTTGTTTACCGGTACTTCATTAAATTACTTTTCTGGGAACTTATTTATTTAGTTTAGCCCTAATATAACAGTCTCCATGTGGTCCAACAATAGTACCCTGAAGCCCTTTAAGAGAAGGAAGATAAAAATGAATTACTGTGGGTTTTTTTGAAGCAAACACAGTGTAACCAGAAAGCTAGTTACTTGATCATTCAAGCTCTCCTGTGTCTGCTGTTGAACCCATCAGGGGATTGACAAATCAAAGAAAACCCCAAACCAACAAAAGAAAGCCAGTTTGACTTATGCATAAAATATAAATCCAGAAAGAGGAGCAGATAATGCAGCTGGAAAATCTTTGTCCTAGTGAGAAATGCATTGTACTTTCCTATTGACATTTCAAGTATTATTTCCAATAATGCTTCTAGACAGATTAAAGAGAGCCAGGTCCCTCCGGTTTCTTCCATTTACAGGAAGATAATCATCAGCTTTCCTATTTTTGACAACACAGTCTCAGAGCTTACCTGCGAATCTCCTTTATTCATTTCATTTGTTACCGGGAGGGCAATGACTGTAAAAATCAACAGAAGGAAAGGATACCTGGTTAGCCTACATGTTCTGGAACATCTGCAGCAGCTGGGGCAGGGATCGGGAAACGCAGGCAGAGCGACCCAGCTGTGCCAAACGTGATAGTAGGGAGATGGGAGCTTGGGCTTAATTTTCGACCACATACCACAACCGATTATTAACTAAGGGCTTCACCAATCAGCGGGGATCGGACAGACTCTAAAAATAGGGCTTGGGTTGGCTTGCACGGGCTCCCGAAGCGAAGCAGGCAAAGATCAGCAGCTCCATGTGGATGGGCAGGATCCTTCCAGCGCCTTTCACCGCAAGCAAGGCGTTCCCGAAGGCCGCCCGTGTGGCTGTGCGAGCAGGGGGTGCGTGGCTGCAGACAGCTATCGCAGCTCGCTGCGGGGAAAGGGCCACTCGCAGATCAGTGGAGGGGGAGCAGGTGGCTGGAGCAGGCGGGGATGACCTTGCCGGTGTGCTCAGCGCACTGGAGATGTAACCAGGGCACTGCCATTCCCCACCCACACAGGGGCTTGCAGCAGCAGCCCTCCCCCCGCAAAGAACCCCCCTGGATGCCTGCGCCCAAGCGCGGCGGGGGGAAGCGCGGACTAGAAGCACCTTGCCCAGTTCCGCCTTTGCGGCTGCCCCAGCGGGGGGGCGCTGTCCTTGGTGCTGAAAGGACGGTCACTGCGGGGCAGCATCCTGGGGCGAGCTCCCTCTGCTCGGGGCCAGCTCAGTCCCGAGCCCCGGGCGCCCCCACTTACCCTGCACCGCCAGAAGCAGGACGGCGAAGGC